ATGATTGGCGACGAACTGTTTGACTCCGCTGATCTTCTCGTTCTCTTGCTTCCTCAGCGCTCTGACTGAGTCTTTCAGCAAATTTCCCATATAATTTCTTTTGCCCTGCTCTTTTTCCATCCTGTCTTAGGCTTTTAGAAACCGTTCACTTTTTGAAAAGTGCAAACTTCTTGGGATCCCACTTTTCCAATTCCTCTTTTTACTCGTTGTTCATTTCGCAAATTCAAGATGACTTTTGGAGTCAACTTGTTCATTTCATCATCTACGGCTGCTGTCTCTTTCACGCGACAGATCCCCAAGGCTCAATAGTTCCTGGATGATTGTTTTGCCATGCTGTTTTGTCAGGGCGTCTCTGGCTCCACAAACACCATGATGGAGAGCAAGCTTTCGGTGTTTGCTGTGTTCATTTGCATTTGGTTATCGTAACAGCAAATTTACAATCCGCGCTAAAATTTAAGCGCGGATTGGCAATCCGCGCGTAATGTAGTAGCGCATTGGCAATCCGCGCCTAAATGTAAGCGCGGATTGCGCCAGCTCGGAGAGAAATGTCCCCGCACGCGCGCTTTCACGTTTTCTGCGCAATGGGCCTGGACCCTCCGCAACTCGTCTGTCGATCGACCGTTTTTGAGCGGATAGAAAATGCACATGCACGCGTTGCATCTCCCCGACAGCAGGGGTCCCACCATACGGTAAAATAAAAAGACATTTCGAAACGATTCAAATGGATCGAAACGATTCATCACAACACGCGAAACGATTCAAAGGATTTCGAAACGATTCAAAGGAATCGAAACGATTCAAATGCGAAACGAAACGATTCAAAGGACTTTGAAACGATTCAAAGGAATCGAAACGATTCAAATGAATGATCTCGAAAGGATTCAAAGGAATCAACGAAACGATTCAAACGATCTCGAAACGATTCAAAGGTATCAACGAAACGATTCAAAGGAATAAATGAAACATCACTGGTCAGGTAAGATGCCAATTGGTACGTCACTCGAAATCATGGCATCGAACCACTTCATCGTCACCGCAAACCTCCTGCATACCTTTGAGCCATCGCTGAGATCCTGACGAAATTCATCAAACAGCCATATCAAGGAAGCAAACATCGCAGCATGGTCGTTCTGGAAAAAGAGGATAAAGACGACAATCAAAGAAAAATCTTTCGTTTCTACTATGACGGGGATGAGGGAAAGACGATTGATTGATTCGCCTCTCGCTGTAGCCCTTCAGGGCAAGGCTGGACTCCATTATCTCCGATGGAGTGACGAGATGGCTGATGGGTGGCTCGTCCATGAAAGAAGGTGGTTCATATGATTGAAAGGAAATGAGATAATGAAAGGAGACGTGCGTGCTCCGCTTGAAATAACTAAAGCGTATACATCAGGGGCATCAATGAAGAAGCGATGAGTTCCAACAAATCTGCATTGGCGCTCTCGATCTGAGTAGGTGCCGATTGATTAGAATGAAGCAATCCAACAATCCACTAGAAAGCGAAAGCAGAGTGGGATTATCTTGCTAGTGCACTGCTTAAACTAGATTCGGAATGTTTTGCCTTTTCAATGGTCGGTCAAATTGTTTGCATTCAATACCGCAGCAAAGAAGACAAGAAGGTATCAATAAATTCGTCGTCACCTGCTTGTTGTGACCTGCTTGATACGGTAGTCTTTGAAGAACAAGCGACTCGAGCCAACAAACCAGCAAAAGAGTTATGAATTCGGCAAGAATAATGCAACAATCCACATTGTTTGAAAGCTGATGGAGCGGAGTGTGATTGATCTTGCTACTGTACAGCATAAATGCCTATTCTATGGTCAAATCATTGTTTGCATTCACTACCGCAGCAAACAAGACATGAAAGATATCGATGAATGCAACAATCAACATTGTTTGAAAGCAGAAGCGGAGTGAGATTTATCTTATTGCATCTGCGCTGCTAAAATTGAGATTCGGAATATTTCTGACTTGCCTATTCTACCAATATGGTCAAATGATAGTTCAATACAGCAACAAGCAAGACAAGAACGATATCGAGCTTGTTATTCTGATGTAAGTACATTGTTCAAATCACATTGATTGGGAAGACTACTAATCCTGTTAGATGAGATTTGGAATATTTACCAGTTGCCTATTTTACAGTCGAAGAACTATCCAACCGATAACCGGGTCGCACATATCAATCCTTTGGTTCACGATTGACTTGTGAACATGGCGTCTGCACTCTCTACATCCTGGGTTGCATTAGTTTCATTTTGGAATCAAACTTAACTATTTAATCAACTATGTTATCTATAGCATCTCAATGATTGGCTTGCGACGCTTCATTTGTGAGTACGTTGAGAGCTCGGCAAAGAAAGAGTTTGGCAAAGATGTGGCAGTAAGATTGGAATCTACCTGCATCATCCTGCTGCCTCCTTGCCATACTCTCTATGTTAGATGAACTACGACAATGTGGTAGTTCGGACACTAGCAAGGGATGGATTCCGGTGGAACAGCCTCATGCCCAATTGGAGAAACCCAAAGCAGCGGCTCTGCAGTAGAAACTCTTTTCAACCATGGAAAATGAACGGAAATGGGCCTGCTTGGCCGAAAGTTGTATGCACTGAGTGCCCAGCCAAGATATAAACGGATCTCCTGGCCAACTATCGGATCCTCAACGAAGCCCCCGAAGTTGGATTGTTGTGTTGTCCTATGTAGCTGCTCCGCACAAAATGGTTTGACCAAGATTATGTGATACTTGGATCACATAGTTGTAGGTACGTGGTACCAGAGGTACGTCACATGAAAGGATTCAAAAACGATTCAAAGATCGCACGAAACGATTCAAACGAAACGATTCGTTCAAAGGACAAGAGTCCGGCACATATCGGATAAATGGGGTTTGCAAATCAGCTCACGACTACCAGCTTCTACGTACGTGTACATGTCGTCAGCTGGAACCAAATCCGGGCTATTTTCTTTCAAAAAGCAAATCAAAATATATGAGGGGAGAGTTTCAGGGGATATGAGAGACTCGCGAAACACCAGTGCTTAAAATAATAATCAGGAAGATCCAGTTCTACCGGTAGATTGGATGGTCCTGGATCATCAAATATAAAGAATAAGCAAACTAAAAACATTCTATACCAGCCACTTGCAATCTGATACGCAAACCTGCTTTTCCAGAATGGACGCAACCTAACCAAACCACCTCAGCTCCAGTTGAACAAGTTCTGGCCTTCCTAGAGAATGTGACAGTATATTGGCAAACCGGAATGACTAGCGTTACATGGTGATGGAGATGTATAATAGTAGAACGTATTGTTCAAGCTTCTAGCTTGATTCTCTATTGACTATAATTTTTGTCTTCAACAGTAGTATCCAGTTTGAGTGTCGTCTTGTCATTGTTCAAGTCAAGTCACTGTCTCCGCATTGGCAGAATCAAGCCCTCATTTGTTCTATTCTATTCTCTCGTCAGAATTTTTTCACAAAGAACTCTGCAAGCGTCTTTCTATACTATAGTAGACAGCTTCGTTCAAAACACTGGCCTGGAGAAAAAAAAATTGGCCACAATGGAGCCCAGTCGGGATTCTGCGTTTGTTGTCGTTTTTAAATCTTTCCCAACCAATGTTGATTATTGTGTCTTCGATCTTTGCATACACATGTAGTATATTTGCGATGAAATTGAGCCTTGCGTTCGCCCTTTACGTTTCTACCCAAACAACAAGCCGATTGATGCTTCAGGTCCAGATAATCAGCAAATTGCACATGCTCGTTGTCGCAAGCCTCAGAGAAGTGTATACTTCACTAGAATCGCAGCGATAATCTCAACTGGTAGATTTGACTGCTCTCTCATGCCTTGTTTGACCTTTCCAGGATGATGTCGATTCAATCACAAGATGATGCAATCAAGTTGTTAAAACCACTTTCCAACAAGCGTGAAGTTGGGGGGTGGTTGCACTTCTATCGATCCGTAGGACCTCTCGATCGATTGCATGTCTCTCATAACAAAAATTCTGACTCCGAATCCACAATGCTGGCGTATTGTCGCAGCTCGCGTGAAGCTGATGATTCATTCTCCGCTTGTTGTGCTGCTTGTTGCACTGGAGTCTGCCGTTCTCGCTTCAGGCGCCTGTCATGTCGTCATTTTTATCTCACTAGGTCGCAACTGTTGTGGTGCTGCTTGTTTGTTTTGCGGTTCCTTGGCTTTTGTCTGCAAGCTTGAAGTTGATGTGATGTTGATGCAAAACAATGACACATATTACAAAGAGCTTCAGACCAGTGCAGCTCACGACAAAAGAGCTAGCGACATATCCGGGTTAGAAGTGCTTTATTTTTTATTTTCAAAAACTAATGGTCTGCCCTCCGTCATATTCATATCTCACGATATTTCATGAGGAAAGCTGACGACACGTAGAGGTGGTACGAAAAATACGGCGGTTTTCAAAAATACCCAACCCCATTTATGAAATATGAGCCCTTTGAAACGATTCAAAGGAATCGAAACGATTCAAATGCGAAACGAAACCGTTCAAATGATTTTGAAACGATTCAAAGGAATCGAAACGATTCATTGCGACGGACGAAACGATTCAAACCGACTTTTTTGCTTCAGTAATGCCCCAGCTCAGGGGTGTAGGGAAAGCTGTTCAGTAGTCAAAGAAGTCGAGATTATCAATCCTCAAAACGGTCGATTGACGGACGAGTTGCGGAGGGTCCAGAAGGTGAGGTCGTTTCGCTGCTGTTGCTTCTTAAAGTACTATTATTGTCGCAGTACATTCTGTTGCCATGAAGGGAGGCTCGGAGACTAGCGCTTTGGCGGCATTGAAACCGTATTTGGAGTCAGTCTTCTCAATCGAGGCTGAAAAACCTTTCCCCAATTGTAGGGTTGGAATCCGCGTAACCAAATCCAACAGATGGAAAGTCTTTTATGTTAGCCAAATCAGCGAAGATTCAATATTTGTCAACACGAAACTCAAGATGGGAGACGTCCTCGTCACCATCAATGGGAAACCATGCCCGGATACCCTAATCATGTTTTGGGGATGTTGGGAAGCATCACTGGCCCTGTCAAGCTTACTGCAGCCGCCACCAAACCTGCCTTTGATATCGAGGACGACGATGAAGAAAAAGGCGAAGAGAAAGGTAACGACTGCATCGCCCCTTCCTACAGCACCTCCTCCCAGTCGACTCATATAAATTTTGCAGGTGAGGTAACCAGCCGAAGGTTGACTACTTTTGAAGTTACGAAAAAGAGAAAGTCCGATAAGCTTGGCTTTACAGTGAACACTTCGAGATTCAAGAATCCCGATGGTTCCAATCAACTAATTGTTACAAGAGTTCAGCGAGGTGGCAGCTTTCCCGATCTCAAAAGCGGGTCCATCCTCCTTTCCGTCAATGGAAAACCCGCTACTGACTACAAGAAAACTGTGAAGCAATTAAGGTCATCGAGATCTCTGAATATAGCTGTGGAGGAACCCTTGCGTCCAAGCCTCTTGGGACAGGATCAACGGTCCATCATATGTGGCAAACGGCATATCAAAATCGAGACACCTCCCAAAGGCATCATTATCATTTGGTTTTTGATTGCAGTGGAATTGCTCTTTGATCTTGTAACAACTTCCTTTGCATTCAAGGCTTTTTTTGAAGAATCGAGAACCTGCTGTGAAGAAAAAATCGACAGTGGTGCAATTCCACTAGCTACTGCACTCCCATTTGCCTTTTTGGTTGTTGCCGAATTGGGCTTTTTGCTGCGGGCAATGAGACTCACTATGTGGCCTCCTACCGTTTCAGAAGAAGAACTGGATCCAAATCGATCATGCATTTCCAAGCTGTTTTTGGCAGTAACCCTGGTATTGTGATATTTGTCATTAATTTTTTGACCGTCATCAATCCTTTCTTTGGATTTATCATTGCATAGATGCTGATTTATCAGTCCGATGAACAAGAAGCATACTTTGTTGTTGGAATGGAGAGCATTGCAGTTATATTGCATTTTATCTCAGTTCATTACGAGGGGCAAGCAAGAACCATCGTGGGAAAGCTCATACACTCACTTGTCATTATTCCCTTCTTGGCCACTGGGATATTACTTTCGTGGTTCTTGCAAGTAAAGGGAATCTGTTACAACTCGGAAGTGAACCTGTTCTGGTTTGAGGGTTGTGAAGTTTGTCCGACTGGAGTGCCACCAGAAAATGGACTCTGTCCCATCCTTGAGACTTTGAACGGGACAAACACAACTGTGGGATACGAACAGTACTATCTTTGGGAGTTGGAGCAAACAAACTATTGTTATGGGGAATTCCGAATGTGTTTTTTCCCGTCGGACTAGGGCAGTGGGGACCGTCAATTTGCGAAATCAAAAGTTTCCAACTTGTCGACTCTACTATAAGAGGGAGCTCGGGCGTCTAGTTGCAAACGTCCATTTTACGGGAAACAAAGATATGGGAACGGGTGTTGACATTATTACATGCTTGTACCAACGCGATGCAGTCGAAAGCCTAATCAAGAGCTTTTCAATCGAGACTTTGCTTCCACCCCTTTCCAATAATCAGTATGTGCTTCATTGTGCGAAGCTCTAAGGATTCGGGCAAGTTGCCGACATTGTTGCCATACGCGACATTGCCAAATAAATGCAAGTGGAAACAATTCTATATCAAACATAGAAGAATGGTTAACACAAAATAGTAGCTTTCTTCATCGTTCGCGTTAGCTCCTCATCTTGTTTGGCAAAAATCGGTGCTATGAGGCCAATTCACAGGCAGGTATCACATAATCTTGGTCAAACCATTTGCTTGCGTCTACCAGTTTCTACATACGGTACGTGACGGGAGTTGGTGCCATATCCAGGTTACTGCAATTCAAAAAAGGGGAATCAAAAATATTAGGGGTTGTCAATGAACCCAACCCAACTATTTTTGGTTTATTTTTATTGACCAATACGTTATATTGAGTAGCGAGGTACGAGAGATTCGGGACGAAAACGAGTACGATGACAAACATGGGGATTTTACAAGATGTGTGCGAATCTCTAGGTTAATCTATCTAACGTACGAATGACGGACACTCTCTGGTCCAATTAACGGCCCCCTCAAGGTGATACTGATGTATCAGAGAACTTTGTACTCCGAATTGGGCTAATATCAACCGTACCCCCTCTTGGGAGGACGTATCATCCAATACTGTCCAAGACTGACAATATCCGGCGACGGATGAAGACGTTTCCAAAAGTTAAATAAAAAGAGCAAGTTTTCCATTTTGCTTTGCTTTCCACATGATGTGTTCAATAAGACGATCACGAACAGGTCCAGGTTGGATTTTGGTCAAAACATCGGCCAAGTTCTCAGCGGAAATGATCCATTCAATTTGTAGGATATCAATTGCGCATCTGGAGCGAACGTAGTGATATGCGACAGCATTCGATTTCTTTTTCAATTGAGATTCAGGAACACTTGAGTTCTTGACAACGGACATGTTGTAGTTGGATTTCGGTTCTGGCGGACATCAGACAAGCGGCAGGCTTGTCGTCGTCCAAACCGATTGACAACTTTGTGGCCCATCAAGCCATCATTGCCAACCAGCAGTGCCAACATGCGACCCATCAAGTCGTCATGCAGAGGCACTGACCATAGCGATCTCCGATCCGTCTAATAGGAAATAATCATCTCTACAGGAAATAACTATTCTAAAAGACTTGTTATCTACATGGAATGGGCAA